CGGCTCCTCTTCCCCATTGGGCAACTCTCCAATCCTGGTTGCCCAGTGACTTTCTTGGTCTCCAGCTCTCCCCCCCCCGCACCCCTCCACATCTCCTACCAGCCAGGACCCCCTCACCAGTGGTGTTCTCCACAGAACTAGCTACACTCCAAGCCTGCAGTCCCCTGGGTGCCCTGTTCTCTTAAATGACTGGGCACTCTCTGTTTGCCATTCACCCAGACACCAAGGTTGTGGAGCATGGGGGCTGGGGGCCGTCAGCTTATTTTGCCTGATTCCCTCGGGTAGCCACACCCCAGGGAGCTGGCAAAAAAGTCCTCCTCAGCTGTCAGCACTGGTGGGAGGGAAAGTTGGAGGTCTGGTGCCCCTCCTGTTTCCATTGGCTCCAATAATCATTCTCATGGAGAGCTGGGGAGAGATTTTAGAGATTTCCCAGCTATATGGGGAGGGATGGCTGAGGGTCGCCTGTGGTCGCCAATTTCGCTGTAGAGCGATCCCATCTGCCAAACTCTGATGACGATAGTTCTCTGCCATGGTGGATACTGGTCTCCTTGCTGGGGTGACTGATGGTAAGGGTGGGTCTGGTCTACCTCTCTTAAATCCTACCTCAACTCTCAGTCTGCTGGCCCATGGAGGCTCGGTTGGCACCACCTCAAATGATCCAAAGTTATTTTTCTCTACTCCACTCAAGGGTCTCTGTAGCGCTGAGTCGCGGCGGGTCTCCAATCAACCAGCCAGTACCTCCGCATGCAGGGTGGCCTGGATTCACCTGTGCCCAAGCACACTGTGGCCTCTGAGAAACTCAAACTGCTCACTTAGGCACCACCTCAGGCCAACTTTGCTGGACGCTCCTGAGCAGGCATCATCCAGTCATTCTGTAGTCTCTCTTTGCCAGCGTAGCTGAGGAGGTCACAGGATTGCTCCCTCCCCACCCACTGCCATGTTCTTCCTCCCCAGGATCTCTTTTTTAAAAACAGATCAAAATTATGGTATTTGCCAGTAAATGGACTGTAATGGAGAAGATCATGCCAAGTGAAAAAATCTAAACATAAAAATTCAAAAGTCAAATGATTTCTGTCAAATGCAGAAGATGGAGTGAAATAAAGAAAAAGGGGGAGGAATGGATAGGATAACATAAAGAACCAATCACATATAAATGTATACATGTTAATGTTTTCAGTGTATTTATTGCAAACATGTTCTCAGTTTTGTTGTTTACCTTTTAATTTTGTGTAAAATTTTGAATGCAAAATGTTTTTTTATGTGATCAGATCTATTAATCATTTTATTGGCATCATCTAAGTTTACTTGCATTTCCCTCACCTTCAAGCTGATAAGTATTAGGTATATTGTTTCTTTTTTCTTTCAGTTCTTTAATCTATCTGAAGTTAATGTCAGGTAAGATGAGATAACAGTGTAATCCATGTGTGTTCCCCATGGTTTCAATCAATGTTTCCAGCATCACTTATCAAATAGATTTCATTTCAGGATTCATGACCAACACTTAAACAGACATGGACTTCTCCATATACACTAAGATCTGTGGAGTGGACACTGGAAGGTGCCTCCCAGATTCCCCTCCAGTATGAAGAATTTACCCACCCAGCAGCTGGAGTGTGGATGGGAGACAGCCGCAAATCTGGGTCCTGCCTCCCCTCCTTCCAGGGACAGATTATATCCAAGGAGTGGTTACTACAGGCATACAGGCCCAGCCACTGTACCCCAAAGAAGGACAATTTTGAAGTGCCTCATGATTTTGGGGTTTCCTGAGATTTGTTGTGCCCCTACCTCAGGTGACTCCCCTCTGCTCAGTCTTGCATCTTCCCATCCCATTCCATTCCTTCCATGGGTGTTTATTCCCAAATAATTCCTTCTAAACATTCTGCATATTGATTTCTAGTGTCTGTATGTGGATATTTTATTTCATTAATCTATTGATATTAGCACCATGTATTTTGAATTTTTTTTGTATTTTTCAAATACAAAAAGCTTTTTGAATTCTTGGTTGTTATCATCTGAATCCATAGAGTTATGATGTTATATAGTAAACAAAATCCCATACAAGCACTGGTGCCATACGTAAGTGGTAAAGCACTTGCCTAGCACATGTGAGGTAGAACCTGGGTTGGGTCTCCAGTACCACATTAAACCCCCCCCCACACACACACACACACATATGTACAAATCATAACACAAAAACATTCATTTGTGAACACAAACATCTTTCATTTAAAACTTGCATCTTGAGCCAAGCATGGTGGCATAGGCCTGTGATCCCATCTACTCAGTGGCTCAGACAGGAAGACCACAAGTTGGAGGCTAGACAGAACAGTATAGTCAAACTCCATCTCAAAAATGAAAGCAAGGGGCTGGAGCTGGAGCTCAGTGGCAGAGCACTGCCTAGATCATGTGAGGCACTGAGTTTGATCATCAGCACCTCATTTAAAAAATAAATAAAATAAAGGTATTGTGTCCATCTACAATTTCAAAATATATAAAAAATATTTTTGAAAGCAAATTTAAAATAAGCCAATCCCAGAAAACCAAAGGCTAAATGTTCCCTCTGATATACAGATGCTAACACACAATAAGAGGGGTAAGGGAGGGAAGGGAGGGAGAATGGGAATAGGAAAGACTGTGAAATGAATTGGACATGACTTTCCGATGTTCACATATAAACACACCACCAGTGAAACTACACATCATGTACAACTACCAGAATGGGGAGTTATACACCATGTACGTATAGTATGTCAAAATATACTCTACTGTAGCGTAAATCTAAAAAATGCAAAATATTAATAACAAAGAAACAATGCAAAATAATAACACACTAGCATCTTCCTTTCCCACCAATCTCAGCTACAACATAAAACATTTTTGCAATGACAACTTATTACAAAGTGAAATTCTTGCAAGAGGAAGTATTTCATAAGTCAATAGAACTGATACTATACTAGAATTGCACTTAAATTCTTAAAAACCAATAATGTAAAAGAATCTAGTCTAAAACAGCTAAAAGAAGTAAAGGGGAAAATAAACAAGGTAGACAAGCTAGTAGGCTCTTCTAAAGAAAAGTATGGATTCTCTAGTAAATTCTACCAAAACTTTAAATAGACACATCTCCTTCTCAAACTCTACCAAGATAGTATCTTTGTATCTGGGACCTGGTCAGTCAAGAAGTAGAAGAGAAAGGAACAATTCCTAACCTACTTTACAGGACCAATATTACTCTGATACCAAAGCCAAACAAAGACATCACAGAGGAAAACAAAAATTAATATCCTTTATGAGTATTAAATACAAAAATCTTTTTTAAAAATCCTAACAACTGAGGGCTGGGATTGTGGCTCAGCAGTAGTGCTTGCCTAGCATGTGTGAGGCCCTGGGCTCGATCCTCAGCACCACATAAAAATAAATTAATGAAATAAAGGTAGTTGTCCAACTACAACTATAGAATAAATCTTTTAAAAAAAATAACAACCTAAATTCAGCAGCATATTAAATATATTATGTATCATTGACTATGGAATTAATCCCAGAAATGCAAAAATGATTCAACATTTATAAGTATAGAGTATAGCTGGGAATGGTGGCATATGTCTATAATTCCATCAACTCTGGAGGCTGAGACAGGAAGATCATAATTTTGAGGCTAGGCTCACCAACTTAGTCAGGTTCTCAACAACTTAATGAGACCCGGACTCAATAAAAAATAAATAGGACTGGGGACAAATCTCAGGATAAATCATCTCCTGGTAAATCCCTAGTACATCCCCCCCAAAAAAAAATGTTGTATAGGTGATAGTCTGAGACATCATCACCAAACTGGGAACTGGGGAGATGGCCAAGATGACTGCAACATCATGCAGGATCACCTTGGTGGTGCTCTTGTAATGAATGCAAGATACATCTCCGACCGAGTCTCATCAGATCATTGTAAGAATCAAAAATAATGGTAATCACACTTGTGATTGGGGAAAAAAGCACTCCAGACCTTATAACTCAGGCTGGGGTGGAAGAGTATGAAAACAGAAATAAGATAGTTGCCACACAAAGGAATTGAAGTTTGCTAGCAGTTTACACTGAAATTTGGAACACCGTTTTCCTAAGATAAAAATGGTCTCTGCAGTTAACTACTATGTGTTGAAAGGTTTTATATTATAATGCCCATTCTTATCATATACTATGTAGTTAATTTAAAGAGTAATTTCCCCCCCACCACCACAGTTTCTTAAAGATAGTATCTTTGCATCTGGGACCTGGTCAGTCAAGCTATAAACACTAAAACTTGGAGAAAATGTCAATTTGTAGTACACCACATTAATAGTGGAGGAAAAATATCATACATGATCATTTGGTGCAGAAAAAGCATTTGACAAAATCTAATACATTTTCAGAATTAAAAAAGACACACACACACACACACACACACACACACACAGTTGAAAGGTAACTTCCTCAACCTTATGAAGGACATTTATGAAAAACCTTATATTTATTAAAAACTATAGCTACAGAAATTAAGCAAAAAAATATTTAATATCCATCTGAGAAAAAAAGAAGGAAAAACTATTTGCAGGTGGCAAGATCTTGCATATAGAAAACCGTAAGATAGTCATGGCAGTTAACTCCTGTAACTTGGGAGGCTATCAGGGAGGCTGAGAAAGGGGGCCACAAGTTGGAGGACAGCCTGGCCAATTTAGTGAGAGCATGTCTGAAAATAAAAATGGGCTGGGGATGGAACTCAGGGGTGAAGGGCTTGCCTACCATGCATAAAGCCCTGGGTTTGATTTAAACCCCGGTACCACACAAAATCAATATCTCTCTCTCTCTCTCTCTCTCTCTCTCTCTCTCTCTCTCTCTCCCTCTCTCTCTCCCCTCTCTCTCTCTCTCTCACACACACACACACACAAACACACACACACTCCTAAAGAATACACACATGTCTCTCTCTCTCTCTCTCTCTCTCTCTCTCTCTCACACACACACACACACACACACACACACAAACACACACACACACTCCTAAATAATACACACATGTGCACACACAATTATAACTACTACTAATAAATAAGTTCCATTTCTATATTTTGGAGTAGTTGAGGTGCATTGGGTATTTTCCAGGTTGGTCAATTTTCTCTCCTCTCATCTGCAGCCCTTGCCAGGAAGTCAGACAGGTCAGTCACTGTAATTATTACTGTTGCCATATTTTAAGGATGAGAGAAATTCTAAGTGTCTTCCCAAGGTCAAAAAGCCAAATAGTGTTGGTTCCTGAGCTTGAGTCTCCAGAGAGAAAGGATCTTCCCTTCCAGGAGGGCTCTGACCAGACCCTCATAGCCTCACCACACACACAGGAAACTTGCTTCTCTGAACGTAGAACAAACAGACAGAGAAGTGATAAAAACCAACAAAAAATATATTTTATAAGAAATACATACCTGTGGGGTCATGGCAGCCCTAACAGGGGACTCAGTGAGGGCTCAGGCCTGAGAGACCTTGATGTAGGGCTCACAACCAGGCATCACAGGGTGGGATGTTGCAGCACTGGCCTGATGTGAAGATAAACACAGAGTCAGGACATGGGGGCTCTCCCTAACCTCTACCCCACTGCTCACAGTCAAGTCGCTCATCTCCTGGAGGCAGGAAAAAAAGAGGACTGGCACCACAAGTCACTGCAAGGGCCCTTGGGGGGCACTGGGGGTTACCCACCCAACTGCACTCCTAATACTACACTCCATCTGATTCATATGGGACTGAGAAAAAATTTCCAATTAAAAAAAATAATTTATTTTAAAACATTAGAAGCTACTGGACTAATCTCAGACCTCATTAATGGCTGAGGAAGGTAAGGAACTGTCCCAGGCCAACCAGATAGTTAGCAGTGCAGCATTTTTCATTTGTCTATCCAGGGAAAACTGGGTGTGCTCTGAAGCCCTGTGACTTGGCCCTACATCCTCCAGGTCCATAATCCCACTCCTTAGGCTCCAAGGGCTTCAGCTTCACAGCCAGCCCGATATTGGGGGCTTCCCCCAACACATGTGCAAGCACAAACTCCCATGTTTCAAAGCTCAACCGATGATACTCCTTACCTTGTGTAAGGGTGCAGAATTGCCAAACCTTGGGAGGGCCTGAGTTGCACACCTGGGCCCAAGGAGGTCTTTAAGATGTTATGTTGGCCCCCAGGTGGTGCCCTGCTCCACCTGAAGGCACACAGAAGCCTCTGACATGTACCTGGGAAGCAACAGGCCAAATGCAAGGAGTCACTGCCCACCTTGGCCTGGTGTCCCTGAGCACTCTCACCCCTCAGCTGGGAAGGCACAGAGCCCAGGGCTCTCATCCAGGAGCCTTATCCAGGCTGCAATTCCCCTCTACCACATTTCATGGGGCAAGAACCTAAAACACCAAGGAAGAATAAAATTCCCAGAAACTCCCAGAGTGCCCTGGAGAAAATCCCAAAGCAAAGGAACAGGAAGTGTTAGGGCCTGGGAGCTGGGGACAGGGACCAGGGAAATAGAGCCAGCTTCATCCCACACCACCAGCCCCAGGGTCCACCACTTGAGCCCTTGGTTTACCAACTCACTTGGGTCCCAAGGGTGCACAGAGAATGATGAAACAGTTTCTTCTGCAGCCTGCATCATATGGGTTATCATGCTGGAGGGAGATGAGGAAGGGAAGAGGAGCTCAGAATCAGCAGGACTGGGCAAGGCCATCTCCCAGTGACCCTCGCTAAGTTGGCCAGTTAAGACAGGGCTCAACATGGGCTCATGGCAAGGCTCCAAGAGTAACCAGGGCCTCCTGCCTTCCCAGGCTCCAAGGAAGAGTGACCTCCCTCGACCCACTTGTGAGCAGCTCTCCCCAGACAGTGCTGACCCAGCACTCACCTCTCCTGCCTTCTCAGGGCTCCTCATCCCCTTGTGCTTCCCTTTGCAGGATCCTTGCTCTGCCTCCATTGGCCACACCTGTCCTCTAACCTAATCCTTCCAGGTACCTTTTAAGATCTTTCTAGTGCTCTTTTGCTCAACTGATCCAAAGATGGTGTCACCACCCTGCTCCCACTTTACTCTTTTATCTCTCGATTTTTTCTAAAAATCTACTTCACTGACTTTAACTATCTGGGTGACTAGTAGCAGCAAGGGATGCCCAAACATATTTTCCTAGTCAAAAATAAGATTTTCCAGGAAAATCTGAGCTGAAGAACTTCAGTACACAAAGCAGGGAAGGTCAACCTCAAAAGTCATGTCCTTACCTGGACACGGACTGTCTTCTCCTCTACCTTATTATACTTTCTCTTTCCCTTGAGTTCATCCATCACCCTCGACCCCTCCTCCTTCCAGACCAGGTGGAGTTTCAATCCAACTTCATGAGATTTAGGTAGCAAATATTCTGTTATAATGGCAAGTGGCCCAGCAGCACTTCTATCCACCTCTATCCAGCACCTCTATCCAACACTCGTCTCCACTGAAGGAAAGATGATTCCACATCAGAACCGCTCTGGAATATGTCCAAAAAACAATAGGAATCATTATCCTCTATGAGGTTCTGCCTCCTCTATGGTGTTCACAGCACTTAAGAAATGAATATACCATCAGGTGCAGTGGTGCACACAGAATCCCAGGGATTTGGGATTCTGAGGCTGAAGGATCGCAAGTTCAAGGCCAGCCTCAAAAGCTTAGCAAGGCCCTCAACAATTTTTCTTTAATCTTTAAAAATTCATGTAATGGCATTGAGTTTTCCCACACACACAGATAATTTAAAGAGAGAAAAGAAATGCCTGCTATATAGTGACAGCAGCAGGGTAAAATGAAGTTTCACTTTTATTTATTATGAAAACTAATAATTTCTGATAGAAATCAGTACCTTGCTGTTTTAAATTTTTATCCACAATCATGCCAATCTGCTTTCCTCCTTCATCTTTTAAAAAAAGAGATTATACATCAAGTCACTCCTGAGGAGGGCCCTCAAAAATTTAGTGACACCCTATCTCAAAAAAATATATATATAGCAAGGATTAGGGATGCAGCTTTGGTGGTAAAGCACCCCTTGGTTCAATCCCTAGTACCAGAAGAAATAAATTAATATCAGAGTATTAAAAAGTTGCAGAATTTTTAAATTTAGAGAAAGAATGTTTGATTAGATATATATCATACATAAGAAATATTGATTGTACATAAGGTATACAAAATGCTTAATGAATGATAATTAATAAATTTCTAAGAACTTAGCAGTAAATTTGAATACCTTCCTCTCCCAACATGGAACACTATCACACACAACTGGAATCCAACAGCTCTGAGGCACCCAGACCAGCCTCTCCCACTGGCTCCACACCTGGGGCTCTTGCTCCAATTGTGTGTCTCAAACACCCTCACACTCCACAGGACCAAAATCCAGCAGCATCTTCTTCTTGCCCCATCATCTGACCAACTTCCTGCTGCCTTTCCTTCTCCCCTTATCCTGGGGGATCAGGGCACCAGGCTTCTCTCTGTTCCTTTCTCTCTTTCCTTCTATCCCCAAATGTTGATTCTTCTGTTTGTGGCTTCACTCATTGATTCAGATGTCTTCTCTTTGTGTGCTGGTGATTGAAGAATTCAGGGCCTTGCACATGCTAAGCACACACTCTACCACTGAGATGCACCCCCATCAGAAATATTTCAGGGCATCAAAAATGCTTCTGTCCAACCAGGCATGGTGGCACACACCTGTAATCCCAGTGAATTGGGACACTGAGGCAGGTTTGAGACCAGCCTCAGCAAATTGGCGAGACCCTGATTTACAATAAAATGTAGCAGGGACTGGGGATGTAGCTCAGTGGTAAAGTGCCCCAGGGTTCATTACCAAGTAGCAAAAAATAAAACCCAGTCACTGCACTGGGGATGGAAAGCACCCTGCAAACAGCATGGCCAGCCTACTTTCAGTGGTGAGGGCAGCTGCAACACATGGCCCTGAGCACCATGGGGAGTGGACAGGGTAGAGCATAGAGAGGGTATCATGGGAACCATCTAGGCAACCCAGCTCACAGCACCCAGGCACGTGAAGAGGAGAAGCCCAGAGAGTTAAGAGCTGAGACAGCTACTTCTGGTTTCAGAGGCTGTGTCCAATCCTGAAAGAGTAGTCTGAAGATGTCTGCTGGCTTTGGCCATTAATGAGAGCATCATCCTGACAGCAAGGGCTGGGCAGACCTGGGCAAGGAAGTGAAGGGTGAGCTAGTGAACAAGGTCAACTCTTTCAGGAAATAAGGCCCAGAAGGTATAACAGGTGGAGTGGAGGCCTGGGGTGCTAAGGGTGGGATTTGTATGGCTTTTAAGAAGAGGCACAGACATGTGTAGATGACCATGGGAAGGAATGGTAGTAATAGTAACAGCAGCACATAGGGCACTTCTTGGTACCAGCCACTGTTCTATGTGGTTTACATGAATTAACCCACAATTCCCTGTTTTACACCTAGGGAAATTGAGTGACCAGGGGCTAAGTAGCATACCCAAGGTCTCCCTGCTGGTCAGTTCTACAGCTGGGAGTTGAACTTATGTGGTCTTCACCAGACTCTTTGCCACCAACCACCAAACAAGTGACTCCAGGAGGAGTTGTAGTAATGGAATGGAGTATGGTAGGAGTAAAAGTTGGAGCATGGGATCAGTGCCTGAAATAGGTGCTGCGGTAATGGAAAGGAGCCCTGTCTGAAGAATCCCAGAGTGCAGACTGCATTTAGGTTCCTTGAGACTTGGGGACCCTTGACTTGGAGGGCCTCACTCTGAGCAGATGAGAAAGGGCAATGGCGTATGGCCGGACCTGGGGCTGGAAGAACCACAGGATGGGGGAAGGGTAAAATCTGCCAGGCAAACTCAATGGTGATACTAGAAGCTGGAGAGAGGAGAAGACAGGCAGACCACAGGGCTGAGGAATAAGGGCCAAGCACAGGAGTCACAGGTGGGAGGGAAGCACATATGGCAGTGGTGGGCTGGTGACTAAAAGGATGGGAGGTGATGAGCAGACAGGTTCCTCTGTCTGTTCAGCTGTCTCGGGGTCTTCAGCTTCCCCTCCCCCACTGATGCTGCCCACCAGTCTTCCTGAAAGAGCCTTTAGTTAAGTGATTGCCATACTAAAGGAATCCCATGGCAGAGATGCCTACTCCTATCATTCCTAGTCAAAGCTCAAAGAAAAAGCAATAAAGACACACAGATGGGGAAGAAAGCAATGAAACTGTTCCTCACACAGGACATGAGGTTCCATTAAGAGTGAACAACAACGAATGCTGGGGAAGAAGCGCAGTGGTCCGGCACCCGGTCTCAATCCCCAGTGCTGGAAAAACAGCAACACTAAGGACTCCTGCTCTTTGGAAGATGCTATGAAGAAAATGAAATGACAAGCCATGAATTGCAAGAAAATATTTGCAAAACATAGATGTGAATCCTGTATACAGAACTCCTGAAACACAATAAGAAAACAACACTTTTTTCTTTAAATGGGCAAAAGACTGGAGCAAAGAGTTTACCAACAATATACCCATGCCTGAGAAGACATGAAAATATGCTGAACATTTTTAGTCATTAGGAAAATACAGACTGGAGCCCTAGTGAGGTACCATTACTCATTTATTAGACAGGCTACAATTTGAAAAGAAGAAAGAATAGTAACAAATGACAGTGTCAAAGCTAACTTTCTGAGGCTTTGAACTTGCCACCCTCTTGCCTTTGCCTCCCAAGCCACTGAGAGTACAGGCACGGTCTACTGTGCCCAGCCAGGTTGTGGAGCAACTGGAATTCTCATTCATTGCTCGTAGAAAGTAGAAACGGTACAGTTGTTTCCTAAAAAGTCCCACATATGTTTACCTTATGACTCAGCAATGCCACCCTTAACAATTTATCCAACAGAAATGTAAACTTATGTCCACATGTCTGTGCACCAATGGTTATTTTAGCGGCTTTATTTGTAACTGCCCAAAACTGGCTGGGCACAGTAGACCGTGCCTGTACTCTCAGTGGCTTGGTAGGCAAAGGCAAGAGGGTGGCAAGTTCAAAGCCTCAGAAAATTAGTAAGTTAGTAACTTAACAAGGCCTTAAGCAACTTAGTAAGACCCTTTCTCAAAATTTTTTAAATTTTTCAAAAAGAAAACATAAGGGTGCGGGTGGTGGTGGTGGTGGTGGAGGGGTCAGGGAATGTTGCTCAGTGGTTAAGCACATCGGGGATCAATTTTTGGTACAAAAACAAAACAAAATAGACCAACAAAAACACTGCCAAAACTAGATGCAAAGTAAAAATCCTTCAATTGGTGAATGTATAAATAATCTGTAGGGAAATACAATACTACACAGAAACAAAAGACAATAAACTACTGATATGAGCAACTACATAGATGAATCTCAAATGTATTGTGCTCAGTGAATGAAGCCACACTAGAAAGCCCACAACACCATTTATGCATGATTCTGGAAAGAGAAACACCAGCAAGGACTTAGGGAGAGAATGTGACAACAAGAGATGAAAGGATTTTCTGGGGTAATGAAACTGGTTAACCTTGATCTTGGTGGAGAGTACAGGATGTCATTTGTCAAAATCCCTAACTAGAGACTAAAAAGGGTGAATTTTACTATTTGTAATTACCCTCAATTATTGACATTTTTACAAAATTTTACCATGGCTCCCAGGTTTCCACTACTTGAAAACTACATTCCACACTTGACATTCTGGGTCTTTCTAATCTTGACCGACTTGGAGTAAATGTCATACCACCTTGTGCTTGAACTGGATCTGCTTCTTCATCATTCTGTTAATACCCTACTTTCAGGTTTCTGGGCCTTTCTGCAAAATTGTACCTCCACCAGTCAATGCCCTCCTGTCTCCTCTCCAAAAGCACACAGGACACAGAGAGTGGCATGTTCTACTCTACAGCATGGGCTTCACCAAAACCCCAGTCTCTTCCAGTCTGTTACACCACTCAGGACTGACCCTTCTTCTCAGTGTTCCTGGGAGTCTCCCGGTGTTATTCTGATTGCAGGTTGCTGATCAACACAAGTGCATGACATACTTACTCATCTCTACACCCATCCCTCAAGTAACTGCCACCTAGCACACAGTAGGCTTTCAATGCAATGCACCCAGAGGGAGAATGGCCACCAATGCTCCAGGGTATAGAGATATCTGAGTTGCATCTTCAGAGGTGGGTCTCGAAGGACTCATGAAGCAACATCAGGGCCAAGGGCAGTGAGAAAGCACACAAAGTGCCTAATTGCAGAGGTACAAGATGCCTCCACACAGTCAAGGACACACGCACTCAGACCACTTACCTGGTCCTCATAGGGTTGCCTGGCTATGCCCATGACCACTCCATTGAAGAACAACTGCAGGATGAGGGGTAGCAGGAGGGCCCCAGCAGGTACAGCCACTAGGATGCTGTGCACAGGCTAAGAAGTGAAGCCATGGAATAGCTCTTCCCTGGCCCCGCTTTTCTACCCAACTCCTTCCTCCCTCCCTCCCACCCCAGCTAGCATCACCCACACACTCTCCCTCCCTGGACTGGACAGTCAGTCCAGTACACCCAAGTGAAACCTTACTCCACCACACTGTCCACCCACATGTCCCTTTTCAACTTTTATTACCCTATTCTGTGGCTCCCCTAGATTCTTAACTCCACAGGCATCCTACCCGGCCCATGTCACTGACCCCACTGGCCTTCCACATCTCCTTCACATTCCGCCCAAGTGATTTCTCCCTCTAGCCCTGCCCTTGGTCTCCTCTGTCCCTCCTTGGCTGTTTGCCCCTCCCTCCCCACCACACCAGCTCTTCTCAGGGTGGGCCCTTGGGACTGTGTGGCTATGTCATGGTATAGTCCAGGAATGCCATGTGCCTCCTCTGCATGATGAAAACCACGCAGGTGGACAGCACAGCACCCAGGTGGAGGCACAGGCACAGGAGGAGTAGCAGGTAGAGCCGGATGTTTCGGTGCCACACACAGTTATTCACCCACCTGCAATGGTGGTCGAACTCCTAGGGGAGAGGAGGCAGGGCTGAGGATCTGTCTGGATTGACCTCCATCACCCCCGAATCCTGAGGCATCCCCCAATTCAGCCCTCTAGGCCGCCTGCTCTTGGCCCTACACACAGGTTCCAATCTCAGGGAGAACCTGGCATTTCCATGGTAAGAGCACATTTAGCCCCACAACTCATCAGTTCACCTGTCCTGAGTGAGGTCTTGTCTCTCAAGACCTGCCTGGTATCACTTGGAGCAGGATAGAACATCTCTGGGCCTCTATTTTCTCAGACACTGGATAAGGATGAAAAAACACCCTTGCCCAACCAGCCATCTGCACTTGTGAAACCGAGCAGGGTGTGCACATCAGAGAAAGGCACTCAGAATCCAGGAAACCTTCCAACTGGGACACTCAGACCAAGACCAGCAAAGATCCCCAGGACATGGCAGCAGTCAGCCTAAAGGACTGGGGATCTACTATCAACAACCCAGGGGAGGGGACAGTCACTGCTTTTCCTCCCCCTGACTCCACAAGGCTCAGCACAGTTGTGATGCCCTTTGCATATCAACACCTGTGCAAACAAGTCCAGCCTCCCTGGACAGGTGCAGACACACAGGTGATGACATATATAAGTGACCAACAGTGGCTGAGAGCCACTTGAAGCACTCTGGGAACATGGTCTGATACCCCCACCAGGCCCACTCATGATGTGAGGTTCCTGGTCCTGGCCAGGTGCCCGGAGATAGGTTGGTGAGTGGACAGGGAGGAGGAGCACTCACCTCCACACAGATGTCACAGCTTTTGCAGTGGATGGTTCGTGGCAGGCGGTGAAAATAACAGGTGGGACACCACGGCATGTGGTACAACCTGCCATTCACTGGTGCCATGTAGGGAGCCTCAGGGTCCTGCTCGAAGGCGCCTGGCAGGGAAAGAGGTTTAGGCAGTGAAGGAGGCCCTTGTATCACTCTGCTGCTCAGGGCAACCCATAGCATCACTGGGCAACAAGAAGATGGGGAGGAGGTGGGCAGGGGAATCCCGGTCCCTGTTGAGCAAACTGACCACTCAGATGAACAGGCAGTCAGAGAGAAGGACTTTCCAGCCACAAGAGCTCTACTTGGAGCTCCCCGCTTTGGAATTGTGATCAGTGCTTGGAGTCATGTGTGAAATGGGAAGGAGAAAGAGTGAAGTGTGCGGTTTTTGAAGAGCCTGTTGGCCTCTTGTGCCAGTCTTCCCAGGCCTCTCTTCTAAAGCAACTGGGAAACCTCCAAGGATTCTGTTTTTTCACAATTCAATGGCTTGGGAAATGAAGTGCCAGGGCCCAAGTAATGATGACAGGGTAAGAAGGGATCCTGAGGCCACAGGGGGGCTCATCCCTTTAGAAATGATCCCCGTAGGCACCAGACTTTGGGGTGCCACCTTCCTCTCCCACAGGTCTGAGGCTTTACCTCTGTGTAAGATGCCTGGGTCTGAAGCATTCATAGAAATGAGGCTGTACATAGTGGCCAAAGGAAAGCCCCACTCTCCATCTTGAGCAAGTGCTCGGCATCTGAAATCAGGGCCAGACTCAGTTCTAGTCTGGGGCAACCCGGAGCCCCCATGAGGCCCAGCTCACCTGAGATCAGACTCACACTCCTTAAGGGCAGATCTGAATATCCAGGCTAGAGACAGACCCCATTCCCTCACCAAATGTCACCAGCATTACCAGCCTCCCATAGTTCCCTGATAGGCTCCCCACATCTCTGTGATTCTCACTAAATATCTTCCTTCCCTCCTGGCCTCCCTCTACTTCCCTGCCTCTGCACTCTCACTGTCTATTTCCCATCTGTCTTTTGGTGAGAAACCTGACAGCTGGCATGGAGACTCACGGAAACGTGAAGAACACTAGGCTTAGAGAGACCAGTGCTGCCATAGTCAAACAAGCCCAAAGGCTTGAGAAAAGCCAGGATCTGGCTGGGGGTGCAGGTGGGGACCAGAAAGCATTTGAGATATTCATGCTGAGTCTGCTTTCAAACAAATGAGAGCCAACCGCTCCTTCTCCTGGCTTGGCTCCCAGATTACCATGACTACAAGTGTGACATCAGAGAGGTTCCGGAATGGGGGCTCTGGCTGCTTCCAGTGCCCTCTGAGAGCAACCCTCCCCTGCCCTCATAGACACACCTATAGACTGGGACATCCTGCTATAACAATGGTGGCTTTGTTGGAGCTGGTGAGGATGGGATGTGGTTTGTCCCTCAAAGGTTCATAGGCTAGAGGCTTGGTCCTGGGTGTGGCAGTGTTGACCTGGTAGCACCTGCAAGAGGTGTGGCCTAGAGGGAAGTAATTGTGCCACTGGGGATGAGGCCCTTGGAAGGAATTAATGGAATTCTCATGGGCCCCCATTAGTTCCTGTGAGAGAGGCTTGTTCTAAAAAGAACAAGATTCATCCTCCCCAGTTTCTGGCGATGAAGACTCGACACCTTGCATGTCCACCTACCATGATGCCATTCACCATTTTGTGAGCACTCTCACCAAAGGTTAGTCACAGGGGCTGCCATATGTTGGACTCGGAGCTAAATAAACCTCATCTCTTAATAAAGTACCCATTCTTGGGTAATTTGTTAGAGCTAGAGAAAGCAGGCTAATACAGAGACCATATAATATGGTTCCTGGGGTGATGGCATGGGGAGAAGTTTGGTGATGATTATCCACTCTGAGACCCAGTGCTAATTGAACCAGGCAGTCCTGGTTGCTTATCCTATCTCTATTTCTTTATCTTTCTGTTTACAGAGTTCCAGTTTGGGGAAGGAGGTAGCAATCTACACAACTAAATACTCTCCCAGTTTCCCTAACAGGGCGGGCTTTATGACACAATTCTGTCTCAAAATAAAAAATAAAATATGTCGGGGATGAGACTCAATGGTTAAGCAACCCTGGGATCAATCCCTGATGATGATGATGATGATAATAACTTGTACATGATTATGGCATACTACATATCTTCAAACATATTCACTGAAGAATGCCTGAGTCAAGCTATTGAACATATACACTCTTTCATTACTTATTTGTGATGAGAACCCTTAAAATGGACTCTCTGAGTCATTTTCAAGTGTATATAACATTACCAACTGTAGTCATTCTGTTGTATGTTGTTAACTGTAGACATTACATTGGATAGTAAACCCTTTAAACTCAACCCTCTCATCTAAGTGTAATTTGGTCTCCTCTGACCAGCACCTTACCAGTCCACAGCCCAACCACCCCTGGGCCCCTGGCAGTCATTATTCTGCTATTTATTTCTGTTTTTTCTGATTTTTTAAATAAATTACTGTAGAATACATTACAATTATATTACACATATAGAGCACAATTTTATAACTCTGGGTTGTATAGAAAGTATGTTCACACCAATTCGTGTCTTCATACATGTACTTTGGATAATGATGTCCATCACATTCCACCATCATTGCCAACCCCCTGCCTGCTCTCTTCCCATCCCACTACTCTGCCTTATCTAGAGTTTGTCTATTCCTCCCATGCTCCCCCACCCCATCCCACTATGAATCAGCCACCTTATATCAGAGAAAACATTTGGCATTTTTTTGGGGGGGGAATTGGCTTACGTCACTTAGTATTATCTTCTCCAACTCCATTCATTTACCTCAAATGCCAAGATTTTATACTCTTTTATTGCTGAATAATATTCAATTGTGTATAAGCCACATTTTTTTTGTCCATTCATCTACTGAAGGGCATCTAGGTTGGTTCCCCAGTTTAGAAATTATGAATTGTGCTGCTAACCTTGATCCCAGTGGAGAGTGCAGGACAGTATCCATGTGTCAAAATCCTTAACCATAGATGAAAAAGGGTGAATTTTAATGTGTAAATTATTCCTCAAGAAACAACTTAAAAAAAATTCTACCATTGCTCCTAGCTTTTTACTGCATCTAAACTGAATTCCACTCTTGACTTTCTGGACCTTTTTAATCCTGACCCCCAGGGGGTCAACTTCACTGCCCATGCCACCTTGGGCTTCAATTAGAGCCATATCCTCATCATTCCCTTAACATCCTACTTTCGGGATTCTGTGCCTTTTAGCACTGGTGTGTCGCTCACAGGCCATGCCCTCCTGTCCTCTGTCTCTCCGCAATCACACCTAGGACAGGGAGTGCGGCCTCGCCACACTCTCACCTCCTTTCACTCAGCTGCACCACTCAGGACCAACCCTGCTCACAGTTTTCCTGGGTGTCTCCGGTGTTATTGTGATTGCAGGTTGCTCATCAACACAAGTGCACCATGCACTTACTCACCTCTCTACCCATCGCTCAAATAACCCGCAGCCTAGCACACCTAGAGCACAGTAGGCTCTGGAAGCAATGCAACCAGGAGGGAGAAGGACCAGCGAGCTCCAAGGGGATGAGAGGTCTGAGCTGCATCTAAAGAGGTGGTTGTGGAAGGACTAATGAGGCCAAGGGAAGTGGAGAAAGCACAGAAAGTGGCGGGCGGCAGAAGTGCAACTTCACCCTTCACAGCCAGGTATCCCGACATAGGCCCTGGGCCCCACTTATATGTCCCTCTGGGGCGCCTGGTGGTGCTCACAGATATAGCCTGGATTAACAGCCCCAAAATTAATGGCAGCAGGGTGGCTGTGGTGGGTACAGCCACTAGGAACCTGTGGGCGAGCTAAGAAGCCAACCCTGGAGACAGTTGCTAACTGGCCCCGCCCCTTGATGAGACTCCGCCCTCCATGGCCCCTCCCTCAAACAGCCCCACCCACCTACTCTACCTCCCTGCACTGGACAGTTAGTCCAGTACACCCAATGGAAACCTCACTGCACCACGTTGTCTTCCTACCTCTCCCTTTCCTACCTTCATTATCAATCTCTCTGGCCACCTAGATTCTCAACTCCACAGTATATCCTACCACATAGCGCCCTGACTCCACTCACCTTCCACATGTCCTGGACAAGTCCTCCCAAGGGACTTTTCCCTCTAGACCCGCCCACATCTGTCCAGCCCTCGTTACCCCACCCCTGGGCTTCCTGCCGCTCCCTCTACAAACTGCTGCTGTTTCAAATGCGGGTCCTGGGGACTGCATGGGCACGCCATGGCCTTGTCCAAGGACACCGGCATATCTCTGGGGTGCAAAAGGAAGATGACACATGTCACCAGCAGGGCACATAGGTACAGACAAAGAGCCCCAAGTAGCAGCAGGATCTGCCTGATGTTACCGTGCCCCACGCAGTTGTTCACCCACCTATAGTGATAGTGAGACTCCTATGGGGAGAGGAGGCAGACCTCAAGGTTCTATCTAGCCTGGCCTCCATCACCCTCAAATGATCAGGCCTTGCCCAATCCAACCCTCTAGGCTGCCTGTTCTTGGCCCCACATATGGGCTCCCATCTCAGGGAGAACCTGGCATTTCCACTGTTAGAGCACAGTTAGGATGCCATGGCTCATCAGGTCACCGGTCATGAGTGAGGTCTTTAGAGACTAGACCTGCCTGGTGTCACCTGGAGCAGGATATACAATAACTCTGGGCCTCTATTTTCTCAGATACAAGATAAGGACATAAAGAACACCCTTCCCCAGCCAGGCTTCTGCACTTGTAAAACTGTGCAAGGTGTGCATATGAGAGAAGAGCACCCAGGAAACCCTCCAGCATGGACACCCAGATGAGGACAGGAAAGGATCCCCAGAACAGGGGAGCTGGCCTAAGGGTCTAGGTATCTAGCATCAACAAGCTAGGGGATGGGACAGGCACTGCCTTTCCCTCTCTGACTCCACCAGGCTCAGCACAGATGTGATGCCCTTTGAATGTCACTTCCTGTGTAAAAGGGCCAACCTCTCAGGACAAGTGCAGACACAGAGGCGATAAGAAATGTAAGTGATCAAGAGTGGCTGGGATCCACTTTTAAGCAGTGTGGGAAGATAGTCTCATACCCACTCCTTATGCTGTGAGGTTCCTGGTCCTGGCTAGGTGTCCAGTGATGGATTGGTGAGGGGACAGGGAAGAGGGGTGTTCACCTCCACACAAATATTACAATTCACAGTGGAAGGTCCTGGGTGGGTGATGGAAGAAGCAATGGGGGCACCTGAGTATCTGAAATGCCCTTCGATACATCCAAATGATGTATGCTGACTCAGGATTCTGCTCAAAGTAGCCTGGCATGGGAAGAGGTTTGGGCAGTGGCAGGAGGCCCTTCCATCATGTGGCTGCCAGAGGCAGACCCATAGCTTTTCTGGGCAACAAGAAGGATTGGGAAGAAGTAGGTAGGGAAATCCTGGCCCCTGTTGAGCAAGCTGACCACTCTGATGGGTTGGCAGTCTAAGAAGGGGGTTTCCAGCCACAAGAACTCTGTATGAAGCTCCCCCCTTTGGAATAGTGATCAGTGCTTGAAGTCATGTGTGAAATGGGAAGAGGTGAGTGTGGAAGGACTAATGTGGCTTGGA